TTTCCAACGGATTTGCCCGTTGGAAATGACCATTTTTTTTGTAGTGTAATGATTCCCTCGGTGATATACACGATCTGTCAGATTTTGCAGGTTTGGTTGCGTGTGACGTTTGACTAGGTTAAAATGTTTCTTCCGCTGCATGAAACCTAGTAAACCAAACCCTAGATCGATATGATCGCATGATAGGAATCCGTAGCGAAACCCAACACAATCACACATCATACTAGTCTTATTATGTCATCATTCCCATAATGACACAAGACTAGGGAGTTCAGTATCATTCATAATGATACATGGATTTCATAACATATCTAGTATACAAGAACATGTAATGAATCAAATACTCTCATAAACCATAGAAAGTATCAATGCATCAAATGTATCTAAATAAAGCTCATAAACAGTAAATCATAGAGCACTAAACCAACAACTGCCCTTTCTCGAGTCCGCAATTTTCAGGTTTACAAACCCGACAAACTTACAACAATTTTTTCGATGTCCCAGAATCGTCGTCTTCCGTTGCAGCGAATCTTCTCCGGTTCATCTTCGTTCTTCCTTTTTTTCCTTCTTAAAACAAACACATTTGACTGTATTAAAGAAAACACAGCATTCGCAAAAATCTTACCAAATCAATCTCTAATCAATCTTTGATTGTTCATCAACAACCGTTTTCTGCACCATCGCTTCTTCGGCCCATATCGAAAGCGTCTTCATTGCAAGACTCTCATTTCTTTCAAACCCAAAAACAAAAACCCGAAATCAAATCGTTTTTAACAACCCATACTCACACAGATCCCAAAAAGACCATTAAACGCTCTGATACCATGATAACTTTTATAAATCGAAATACTTTCACATAACAAATATTTATACGCACGAAACTCTCAAAAGAGAGGATTACAGAGAAAGACCAATCTGCAATAATATTCTACATATACTAACCCATGTATTTAAAGACAAAAATAACCGCAAAATAAAACTGCAACATAACTTCACATTTATAACTTCTACAAACTGCACCAAAAACCAACGTAAACTTCTTCTTTATTTTCCTCCAACTGCTTTGTCTTCTATCATTTTCCTTTCGCATCAAACGAGCTTGATCTAAAGTTTCAACAAAAACCAATTAGCAACATCAATCTATCCGGCAAACCTCTTGAAGCAATTCTCAGAAGGCGATAAGGTGGATGGGGTCTGTATCATATAGTGTTGCGTCGACATCAAATAGAACGGCTTCTAAGGGCGCAAGGTGCAACAGAGAAGCTTTACTAATGGTCACTAAAGGAACAGAGCAGTCAGACCATTTGAACCACAGCCGACATGAACTCGCATCGCATTCAACCATATGAAACAAATTCAACCTCAGTCGAAATCAAGAAAACCAAGTGGACTTGAAATGTTCACAATCGAATGAAAGCCTGGTGCCGTTAAAAATTCATAATCCATCATATAACACCAAACCTTGAACATAACTCTAAATATCAACAAATTCACAACCAAACATATCGAAGAAACTGAAGTTTATAGCAAAACCAAGTGGGGTTTATGTACATTGACTCTACAAATCAATAATTTTCGGTATGATACAACAATCTTAACATGTCAAAAACAAATGAAGCTGAAAGAAGAACGAAGTGAGCTTTCAAAACCAAAGTCAACCGACAGGAAACCAGATGGGTGTAAACATTAACTCTCTAAATCAACAATTTTCAGTATGGAATAGCATTCGAACATATTGATCAAATCAAACCTGACATGAACACCATCTGGGCTTAAATAGTTCCGACCCGACATTCCAAATGGATTAAACCCATCTGTGCATAACGCTAGATAAACATTTCTAGGCTCTTGAGCAAAATCAGGAAATACCTGTTGAAAATGTTTCCATGCTAACCCGTCTGATGGATGATGCATTTCCCCTTCTGGAGTACAATGTTCGTCGTGCTACCTCATATGTGATGCGGTTTTCTCAGACTGATATAATTTCTTCAATCGATCTGTAATAGGCATATAAAACATTCTTTTCAATTGAATCAACTTGCCTTTTTTGGATGCTTTTCGTCGTGGCCGATACCGATCCTTCCCACAGAACCGAATTGCATCAATTCTTCGTCGTTCTTCCAAAAAATCATGCAGTTGTTTTCGCAAACATCAATCTTTTTATACGGTAGTCCCAACTTCCGCATCAGACTCTTCGTCTCATAATATGATTCTGTTGCAGTATTACCTTCTGGTAGATATTGTTTGAACATCTGACTAAACCCGTCCATACATTTCTCCGGAATATTGTAATCAGTCTTCATGTTCATCAATTGTGACGACAACGACAATCTCGATAGACCTTCATTGCATCCTTCATATATTGGAGTGCTCGATGTATTAAGGATCTCGTAGAACCTTTTAGCTTCGAAATTTGGCTCTTCTTCCTCCCTGTAAGATGGTTGACCGACATTGGGAAACGCATCAATCACCATTTCGGAATACGGATTTCTTTCTCCTTGTTGAAATTCGTTTGGCTGCTCATCGATAATGACTTGATTAACTACATCATATGAAGACGTCGTGTCCAATGTTTCTCGTGAGCTAGCCAAACAAAATAACTGGACATGAACCCTCTTCGGTATAGATGATTCCAGACTTGCTGAATACACTGTCATTTCGTATTTTCACACTTCACACACAGACATGGAAGTTTCGATCCTTCGATATATGACGGTTGAGATGTAACAAACGTCATAAACGCTTGCAACGCTTCTTCAAAATCTTTGCATATTTGATTTGTGTATGGATCTATTCTTTCATACATCCATCTTCTTGCATTGAAAGACATTTTTTTGGTGTTTTTTTCGTTTTTTTGGTGTTTTTTTCGTTTGCATATGGTGATCTAAACATGCGATGGGTGTAATATTGTTGCGAATTGCGACGGAATTGCGACGGAATAACGACGGACGTCGGCATTCGCATTTAACACGTTTTCCACCTACCATGCGACGGATACCGACGGACAACCAAACCAACGACGGAATACGACCATTTGCGACGGACATTCTGAGCAAAAAAAAACACGTTTCTTACCTAATATATGACGGAGACGGTGCGTCGGATATCCGTCGCTAAAAACGACGGACTGCGTCGAACTTTTCCGTCGTAACACTTGCGACGGATAATACGGTCGGTATCCGTAGCCAATAGTTACGACGGATGGTCCGTCGTATAATTCCGTCAGAAGTCCCTCGTTTTCGGTCGCAAAGATTTTGCGACAGAATAGTCCGTCATATTCCGTCGTCTTATTTTGCGACGGAAACCTATGGATTACGTCGAATTATTTTCCATCTGTATTCCGTCGTTATTCGTCGTTAATTTTAGTGCGACGGACACATCCGTCGCAATGTCCGTCGTCTTTTACCGCTTTTTTTGTAGTGAAAGACAATATGTAGTAGTCACTTAGTGTTGGATTAGGGAAGAGGATTATTCGGATGAAGGAGGAGGATTATTTAGTGTTTAGGATTTTTGGAGGAGATTAGGAAATATTTGGAAGAAGAAAGAATTTGAAGATTTTTTGAAGAGGAAATGTTTTTCTTAATCTTTCTTTGTTTTTCTCTCTTCAAATTTCCTTGATTTCAAACTTCATACAAACACACATATTTATACTATAAACTCACACCTAACTACATATCTAATTCACTTATTAAACACATTTTTACCTAATTTTCTTCCACACATATTCTACACATTTCTAACTACCTCACCAAACTACAATTTCATCACATTTTCTCACACTAACATATTAATCACATTTCTCACACCTTTCATATTAATCACATTTTTCATAATCATACCAAAATATTTATTAATTGATTTTCTAAAATCAAGTTTAATTTTCAACACTTAGTAATTTATTAACACGAATGATCTAGATACAATATGAGAATGCTACCACTAAAAAAATAATCCTCTAAAATATTTTTCTAGCGGGTTAAGATCAATATTTCATATAGTTTCGAGTCAGTTATATGCTCAAACCTATGTTATTTCGGTGGACATCCATATGGTTAGGTCCAAATCAGATTTGAGAACCCAACTCAAAACAAACTATATTAAAGCTATGTAATGCATCTAACAAATGAATCAATAAAAAAGTATGTTTTCTTTTATGAAATGTTAATATATTTACTAAAAAAGAATCAGATTGTGAGTTACACAACAGTTTAGAAACCGTATAACAAAAAGCAGGAGAACTTCCATAGTAGGTGGATTTTCTAAAAAGAAAACATTTGTCAAACTCAAAAAATGTTTTTCTAGTAGGTGGATTTTCTCGTTGTTGACTTCTCTTTTGGTTGGATAGTATGATGTTCCGAACAAGTTGGTCAAATTTTGTTTGAATACAACAATGTCCGTGAGTTGAGAGCGGAAAATCCGGTTGTTTCACTCTTGCCAAATCAAGTAGATCGCTGCTTACAACGTGATTTTTACCAGTGTTGCTCGCTCTCGTTTGTGGCCTACAGTTTCAATCCAATGGAACTGGTACATCTCGTCTTCCGCGGTGCAAAGGAGACATTGGACCACATGTTGTATACTCCATGGATTCAATACAAAGTATGTTGTTATCATATCTTAGATTATTTTAGAATATCTAAATCATCAATATTATGTGTATATATATATATATGTATATTGTATATATATGTGTGTGTATTTGTTTTTATTTTTAATCTTAAAGTTTTTGTATTATTTTTATTGATTATTGATTATTGTTTTTTATTTTGTTTTTCTTTTTTTTCTTTTTTAATTAGTTTTAAATAGAAAATGATAACGTCACTTATTTTAATGTTATCGAACGATGACATGATAATTTTTAAACACGTTGCGTTGATGTATATAACCTTCTGTTAAAATTGTGACGGTTTTAAGGTTTTAAGTAGGAAATTCAAAGAAATTGGTAAATGTGATCCTTTTTTTTTTACAAAATTGTAGTGTATATATATTTATATATTCATTTATTTATTTATTTATTTATTTATTTATGAAATTTAAAAAGTACAAATTTGGGTGGTAATTTCAAGAAAACGAAAAGATCTTTCTTCTTACTGCCTATCTCTCACTCACTCGCCTTCCCCTTCAGTCGTCCCCGAAGACACGTAACTCACGGCAAGAGATGTGCTCTCGTCGGCGGCAAATGACGGCGGAGCAACCGCTGACGTGGCGGCCACCGGAGCTTGGAACTGTTGCTTGCACGAGTGGCAAGTGATCTGCATCATTGTTGCACTAATCCTTTTTGTGGCTTCGTCCCTAAGAATCTGCGCCTTCTCGAGCTCGGCTTGTGCTTGTTGCCTAATTCTCTTGGCGTTTGCAAATTCCATCTCCGCCATTTCTATCTGCCTCTTGGCTTCTCTTCTCGCCTCTTCCGCTATCATCAGCTGCTCGCTCCCTCTCTCCATAAGGCTCACCTCCGCTCTCGAACTCGTTTCTCCCTTCTCGTAACCATTCTTCCTCTGCATGTCAAATGACGTCCTTGCCATTTGCGTTGTCACCCCGATCGAAAGCTCGAGACTTGTCTCGTGGGTTTCATCTGCGTTTCTTGATGGCAGTAGATGGAGTTCGGGGTTGTCATTTCGAGGTCGAGGGTCCAACGGATATAGCAATGTGGATCGTTGTTGATCGGACGTAGGTGGTGGTCCTAGCAAGGGAAGTCCTGGCAACAAAGGGCCGACGCAGAGGTTGGCTGTGTCGGAGGAAGGAGTGCTTGCTGTTGAAGCGGTTCTTGATGACGTGGCGGCCATGGCGGCTGCTGCCAATGGCTGAGCTCGTCGCATGGTGCAATTGTCTTGATGCTCAATAAACCTCTCCACCCTTTTGAGCAAAGCACACACGGACAAAACAAGAATGTCCAAATAGAAGAAGTGTTAGAGAATCAATGCGTTCATATGTACAAGAGGCGCGAGGAATAAATGCGTTAACGGAGCACGTACGTACATGTAGGGTTAGGGAGAAACAAATGGGTGCAATAATATAAAATCAAGTCGGGGATTTAGGTATCTTTTTGGGAATGGATTTAATATAACGTGACAGGACTTTTAAGTCCTTCACATATTAAACAAATGCATACAAAGTGCAAGTTACGGAAATCAAGTCATGGGGTCAACGTGAGTTTTTTACATTTATATAAAAAAAAAACAGTTCACATTACTTTAATAATATAATAATTCCGGGAACAGTGAAGCACCACAACGACCCATTAATTCGAGCTTCCATTGTCAGGATGTTTATGTGCATTACATGTATATTATATATATATATACACATACATACATGTGTGTGTGAGTGGTAACATGTCCAACGCCCTACTAGAAAAACATTCTTTGGTTTATTTAGCATGAGATTCCAGGAAAAATCTTTCTTAATTATAAAAAAATACCCGACGCATTAAGTTTAAACCCTTACAAATTCGAACTGATCTAGGGTTACCCACATGAACTGCACATTATAAACATTATATTTCCTCCTCCAAATCAGAATATATTGGTCGAAACAAAGAGAATCTTTGGGCGTACTGACCTCGAAAAGACGCGGCCGCAATCGCAAGAGTGGCCGCGGGTGCCGCAGGTCTTGAGATGGGCCTTGTAATCGGATTGAACGGCGTAGCCTTTGGAGCATCTCTCGCAGACCCACTGCTTGTGGCTGCTGTGTTTTCGCCGGAAATGTTTCTTGATCCCGACAAGATCGCCGAGGGCATGGCAGGGATCGTGGTGGAGACACGTCGGCTCAGGACAGACATAGACCCTCTTTCTCAGTTCCTGGTTGTTCTCTCTCTTCAGAAGCTTCCATGGTACCTTATGCCTTCTCCTGTGCATCTGAAGATTCTGGTCCCTCTGAAACCCTTGGCTGCAGATCTCGCACACGTACCGATCCGATTCCAGGAGCGTTCTCGGAGATAACGACATCACCTCCGCGTCTGGATCTGCCGTTCTCCACCGGAAAATCGCACATCAGGATCGATTATTGATTAAGGGAATTATCAAATACCCACTCGAAAAAACACGAACATTGGTCGGATTATGCAAAACCCATTCGAAAAACACAAACTTTGGTCGTATTATCGAAGCCCATTAAAGAATACACAAGCTTTGGTGAGAGAAAGAAACCGCCATATGGAAAAACACAAACTTTTTGTTGGATTACGAAAGAAAAAGAACCTGGAGTGCCCGCGGGCCTGCGTTTTCTCTTCTGGGAAGCGGAGGAGGCGGATCCATTGTTATCGAGCAGATGATCGGAGGAAGACGATGGACCGTTTCGGTGATTGTTGTGGGGGTTGCTTCTGCTGCTGCTGTTGCTGTTGATGGTATCGTAATCTATCATCGGATGCGATATTAACCCCTTTTTCCCCGGTGGTGGTATAGTGGAAGTAGAGTACTGGCTTACTGAAAAATAAGAACAAAATCCAAGAATCTTTTGTTTTTCATGTGGGGAGGAGAGGGTTTTCTTCTTCTCTCTTTTCTTCTTTATTTGGTAGGTAGTGGTCTCTCAGCTTTTACCGATGGAAGAAGAAGGCGAGATGAGCGCTGAGAGAGAGAGAGAGAGAGAGAGAGAGAGAGTTTGCTTTCTGAAATCAGCTTTTGTTCAAGTTCTTTTTCCTTCAGAGAAAAGGGAACTTTTTTTTCCTTTTCTCGGGAAAATTCGCTCCTTGTTCCTGTGCAAATTTTCTCTATTTGTTGATGGTTTCATTGACCTCTCACCTTACCTGGAGAAGGCATTGTATGGTCTTTGATGCCTCAATCTTCTTTACACCTACGATCCTCCTCTCTCTCTCTCTCTCTCTCTCTCTCTCTCTCTACATCTACAGTATAATATACAAACACATATATACATATATATATATATATATACACACATACATAATTACATATAATTGTATACATAAAGATGAGGGTTGGGGTGGGGCAGTGAAACTTGGAGCCCACAAAGGCATTTGGACAAGAAACAAAATAACATCCCCTCTCACAAAAAACAAATACCAGACATTATTATTTCATACCATGCAATATTCTTTTTCAACCATTTATATTTTTGTTTCACACATACATACATATATATATATATTCAAAATCATATTAAAGAATCTAAATCAACTGTTAATCTAGGAAATTGCATACTGGGCATGCCTTTTTAATGATGACAAATGTATGAGTTTAGACCTTTTGGGCTGATACCACAGTCGTAGAATATATGTTTCTATCTCAACCAAATTCATAACCAACCTACATCCATCTTTAACAAAAAAAAAAACAAAAAAACAAATATCCATTATTATACACACATAATTATATATGTGAGATCACAATACATCCAAATCTATAAGCATTAATAGAGAGATTCTTGACATATTACATTCGTTACTAATTAATAAAAACATTTAATCAAAATAAACAGGAGGGATATTTTTTTATTTGTGTTAAACTAATTTTTTAAAACCAATAGAATTTGATTATTTGTATTTACTTCTAAATATTTAATTATCCAAAAAATTGACAATTAACACAATGTCATAGATAGGGGTGAGATTTTATTAATTTCTTCTTATTAGTTTTAAATATATTCAAATATACACAATGCAGTAATCAAACAACGTTATTTTTTTTTTGAAATCCTATCGTCTTTGAACAATACTATAATTATTCAAAAAACTTAAAATTTATCATAAGGGTTGTGTGTATACATCCACGTATTATATGTATAGTAACTAAACACACCGTCCAAAATAGAGGCGGAACAAGTGGGACAGTAAAAAATGGGAGTAAATTAAGTAATAATAAACAAAGAAGAGGAAAAAGACGAAGATGCTTTTGGGAGAAAAAAGAGGAACAATTGTCGAGTTGGAAAGAATGGGTGAAGGATGGGGGGATGGATTCTCATCACATGCTTGCTCCTGTGTATCATTTGCAAAGTTAACCTATAATATATATATATATATATATATAAGTGTATATATATAGTCCAAATGCCATCTTGATTCCAAATCTCATATTCTTTAGCTTTATTCCTCTCGGACTCCCTTTAATCTTTTTTTTTAAATTGTTGACTTATAAGCAGATACATCAGTTTTCGGATGAAACAATTTTTGTATCCATTGTTAAGAAAGAAATAGTTTCGCAAATAAAGAAAAAATAAATAAAACTCTCCAGATATAGATCAACATTTTTCAAAGAGTATATTTATCTTCACACAAAATTATTTCGGGTTTTGACAAACTATTCATCGGCTACAATAAAATATAATTTTTTTTCTCAAGAATCAAAACTTGAAAAAACTTGTACTTTTATTATTTCTTATAAAACATTTATGAAAAACTTTGTATAACACAAAGTCGTATGTGATATTTATAAATATAACAGTTTACATTTCTCGTACTCATTACGAATATTTGTAAACAAGGTTATCTCAAGGGCAATGCAACCGGAGAGGTTACAGCGGACTTCGCTTATGATTTTTTAAATTTTTTATGTTTAATTAATTTATTTTTTGTTTATAAATTTTTTATTATTGAATACTTTTCAAATATAACTAAAGAATAATAATTTAATATTGATTAACATTTAAAAATTGTTGTTATTTTAACATTTTAAATTTTTATGAAAGTAAAACTAAAAAGATTCCATCAAAAATTTTCATCTGGATTTAAAACAAAATCATTTTCTCTTTCTGTATCCAATATTCGACACCTAAATACTAATTCTATTATCAATGTATGAAGTATTGAATATTTATTTCTAATGTACTATTATATAGTATTGAATATCTATTTCAATTTTTATTATTTTATGTTATTAATTTTTTAATATTATATATCGGGATAGAGCTAGAAATTTGATATTATATTAGATTTATAAATTTATAGATTTTTAGTTATATTTTACCAATTTTTTATTTAATTGTCTATTCATTTTGGGGTCGCACAAAATGTTTAAGACAACTCTGCTTGTCAATTCATATTATCACATCACATATCATATTTACATAAATGTTTGATAGTGGATAAATGCATGTGAGGATAAATGTTTTACAATGGTACTGCTCATACATTTTCGGGTGAAACGGCACCTCTTCATGCCTTTATAAATAGATTTCAAGACATTTTAGTTAGTCTATTAAGAGTATTAAATGTATCCTCCTAAAATTTAAATCCTAAATCCTATATTAAAATATATTTTATCATTGAATAACTTGTTATTACCCTTTAAACAGATAATTAAGATTATCATTATCAATGACCAAAATGTTTTAGACTCATCTTAATAGCAGTATTGCATACCATATATTTAGATAATCCTTTTTATGGCTTCCTCACAGCTATCACCAAGCTCCCAGAGGCAAATCTTCCCAATGATCTGTCGAGCCCGCTAAATGTTCGAGAGGTCCTCTATTCAATCATTTTCCTTCTTCTTGTTGCTGGATAATGAAGGAGATTTTGATTTGTACAAATGGTAGAAAAGAAGTGTTTATTCGTGTGTAGACACCTTTTAAGAGAAAATCGCATATAAATACCTAAACTTTTGTAAAATTTTCACATAAATACATGAACTATAAAACTTCCATATAAATATCTAAACTTTCCAATACTTCCACATAAATACCCAAACTTTTAAAAATCTTCCAAATGAAACCAAAATCCATTAACGACGTTTAATTTATAACGAAATCCATAAAAAATTGATGACTTAACATTCGGACACGTTAAACATTATTAAAGCATATTATTTCATTTGAGAGATTTTCAAAAGTCTGGGTATTTTTGTAAAAGTTTTGAAAAGTTTAAATATTTATATGGAAGTTTTATAGTTCAAGTATTTATTTGAGAATTCTGCAAAAAAATCAAATATTTATATGCGATTTTTCTGTTAAGAAACTTACAAAATAATGAATATTTATATTTACTCTTCTTGTAACACTTTTTGTTATTTAATTCATAAAATATTATTTCACATCTTTGTAAGCCTATAAATAGGCATGTGTAAACTATTTTCAAAACACACTAAAAGGAAAGAACAATAAAAGAAATATTCTTCCATCTCGTATCTCCTTTTGTATTTTAGTTCTTATTATTTACAACACGTTAAGGTAATTTTATTGTTATTTATTTATATATTTTCTTTTATATTATATTATAAAAATTATTATAACTAAGTATGCTCTATATTCGCCATATATATGGATCTTGTATATCAGAAAAGTTCTAAATCTATCTAATAACTTATATTTTTTCATTTCGATTATTTTTATAGTTTTATCATGTCGAATCTAACCAACCTCGACTTTGAAGTCCTTGATATTACCGACAAGAATTACTTGCCATGGGTGTTGGATGTAGAGATCCATTTGGAGTCTAAAGGTCTCGAAGAGACAATTGTTGCATCGAATAAATCATCCAACCAAGATAAAGCGAAAGCAATGATATTTCTTCGCCACCATCTTCATGATGGATTGAAAATTGAGTACCTCATTCATAAAGATCCTGCAGATCTTTGGAAATCAATAAAAGAAATATATGATCATCAAAAAACTGTGATTCTCCCAAAAACACGTTACGATTGGATGCATCTTCACTTTCAGGATTTTAAATTTGTTAGTGAGTATAATTCGGCTATGTTTCGAATCATTTCACAAAAGAAATTGTGCGGTGAAACTGTTACTGACTCAGATATGATGGAGAAAACATTATCCACATTTCATGCATCGAACGTGATCTTGCAACAACAATATCGTGAAAAAGGGTTTTACAAAATATGGAGAATTGATCTCTTGTCTCCTTGTTGCTGAGAACAATGAATTATTAATGAAAAATCATGAGTCTCGTCCTACTGGCTCAGCTCCATTTTCCTGAAGCGAATGTGATAGCATTCAATAATAACCGTGGTCGTGGTCGCGGTCGAAGCTATGGACGTGGAGGTGGACGAGGGAGAGCAAGAGGTTATTTTTCTGGTGGCCGAAGCAACTATAATAAGAGGGATAAAACCCAAGAAAGTTATGATGGTGGAATGAATAAAATGGTAAAGGAAAGTATATGCCACCGATGCGGGATGAAAGGTCATTGGTCGCGGACCTGTCGCACTCCAAAACATTTTGTTAATCTTTATCAAGAATTCTTGAAGAACAAAGAGAAAAATATTGAAACAAATTTCATTGTTGACGGTTCCAGTGATTTCAACGAAGGTCTTGATGATCTGATACATCTGGATGCAGCTGATTTCCTTATCAATCATGAAGATGGAAATAATCAGAATTGATCAAGATATTTATGAAATATAAAATTTATCTTAAGTTTTTATTATTGTTATGAACTATGTTTTATTTTATTATTAACGTTTTTTTAAATATACTTATGCATTATATTATTTAATTTTTATTCTCTCTAGATTATGGATAAATATCATTCTGAGCTCCAAGTTGAGGATATATGTCTTATAGACAGTGCGACAACGCACACTATTCTTAAATATAAGAAATATTTCTTTAATTTGAGAAATGATCGAGCACACGTCAATACTATATTAGGATGTGCACAAATAATTGAGGGCACTGGAATAACAAGTTTTATTATGCCAAATGGCACAAAACTCATGATCGAAAATGCATTATTTTCGTCTGTCTCAAAGAAATTTGTTAAGTTTTAAGGATATTCGTTCAAATGATATCATATTGAGACTATGAATGAAAGAAATATGGAATATCTTTGCATTACCTCAACTATGATGGGTAAAAGATATATGTTAGAAAAACTACCCGCGTTCTCATATGGGTTATATTATATAACTATGAGAA